TAATGAAGGCGGAGACAGAAAAGTGACGAACCGAAAATAGGAGGAGATGGCATTGACACATGGCATATAAGGGGTGACTTTTACTTGGCAAGCTTGTACGTGAAGTGGCAAGGGTCAAGAACCCTGCCCTCCGTACCCCGCAGTTGTTTTTGCTTATGCGCTATTATTTGAACAAAATTATCCCTTGTTTATATATTTTATAAACTATTTAATTAATATTGTTTGGCCCTTTTATGATGCGATAATTGGGCAAACATAACACAGTTGTACTGGCATTTGGTGTCAGTCAATGAAATTTATTTGCATACAACTATGTGGTTTGGGAGAATTCTCACATCATTTTTACTCACAGCCTCACTCTCCCAGGTTTGTTAGCATTTACAGATCAGTCTGAGATCCCTCAATGATTTTACTGTTTGTGATGCTTAAGTAGCTTAGAAAGATATATACATGCCTATATACCTTAATACAGATATATTCACAGATAATGCCTAGCTTGCACAGAACTTTATATTATTAAAGTATAAAAAGGAGATATTTGGGGGAAATTTTATGAGAGTGCAGACAAAAATTAAACAAGCCCACAGTGGATGTTAAGATTGAAATCACTAAAGATATAGCTTTTACAAATGACGTTGAAGACTTGCAAAAAACCCACACAGTTTAAAATTTGCAGATTCAGGTGAGGCAAAAGCAGTTTATTTCTATAGCTGTAGGAGGGAACATGTCATGGTAGTAATTCAACCCTCAGTCTAATTCTGATTTAAAGCAAAAGTACTGGGGCTTATAAAAATTCACAAGAGATGCAAGCTGCGCTGTGAGGTGGGGGGTGATACAGCAGAGCAGTGTCTGGTGGAAGGAAAGGCTGTCAGGGCACATGTGCCCAAGTGCTCCTATAACAGCTCAGAGCACAGTCTTGGTACTCAGCTGTCCAGCTCACCCCTCCCTTGCTTCTGACACTGCTGTGCCCCTCATCAACTTCTGGACTCGCAAGGTCTGCTCCCACAAAACAACGTTGGCAAAGGTACCCTCTGCATGGTTAAAAACCTTTAAAAGTCCTTCTGTGGCCCTGCTTCAAAAGAGAGTGTCACTTTTTGTCATAAAATAATTCTTTATTTTGTCATAAAATAATTCTTGTGTTGATCGTAGATGGTGGTGACAGCCACAGAAACCAGAAGTCAAAAGAGAAGGGATCTTCCATATTCCAGCGAAATTACTTTATAGTGAAGTGAAATCAACATGCAGATCTCTGCTCCTCCCAAACACCAGTAGCATTAAAAAAAGAGGAGAAAAAAAAAAAGAAAAAAGGAAGTAGGAATACTGTATGAGACGCGCTGCTAACTCCGCATTTCCAATTTTGCATTTTTAATCTTCTGTAGAACCGTTCCAACCCTGCCCCCCTAAAAACCCCAAAACAAAACAAGCAACAACAAAAACCCAACTCACAAAAACAAACAAACAAGCAACATTCAAAAATACAAAGAGACAAACAAAAAGCAGAAAAAAAACAACACCAAAACCAGGACAAACTGCACACTCCAGCGTTCTTTATTAATTGATGAAGCTCCGCCCCGGGCTCAGGCCGGCCCGCGCCGGGTGACGCCACAGCCGCGACCCTTCGGGCCCGCCCGCTGCGCCTGACCCGGGCGGGGGCGGTGGCGCAGGCGGGGCCGGGCCGGGCCGGGCCAGGCCAGGCGGGGCAGGGCTCGGCGCGGTGTGGAGGCTCCCGGCTCGGTGAGGCGGGCGCGAGGTCGGGTCCCGCCGGGCTGTCGGGGGTCCCTGCGGAGCCGGGGGGCGCTGGTTGTAGCGGGGCGGGCAGGGGGAGGCACCGGAGCGGGCCGAGGCCGGGCAGCGGCCGCCGGAGAGCCGAGAGTCCCCGCGAGCAGGTGGTGGGAGGGAGAGGCTGGGAGGGCCGGGATCTGGGCAGGTTGAGGTGACCCTGGTGATAAATAATGTATTGAATGTTTTGAGGGGTTATTTGTCAGAATATTTCGGAAAGGTGCTCCTTTTATTTTGTCTGTTTTGTTTTTAAAGGATTCGTGTCAGACCGGTTTGAGTTTCTTGAATCTGCTGAAACGTTGGTAGAGATCCGAAACCGGCAGGCACACATAGCTAATGAAATAGTATTAAATAGCAGTCTTACATAACCCTGAATTTTCCATGACGATCTTGCAATGTTTTGGAATGGCAGTACGATGTCTTTGTACTTCGGTGCTGCGGAAAGCGTCAGTGCCGGGCAGCGCAGCTGCGAGGTGAAGGGCATTGTCTGCCTTCCTGGTTCTCTGCTTTCTCTTTTAGAAAAGTGGCAAGTAGGCACCCGGGACCTGAAAGCTCTGTGGTGACAGCATGTGATGGAGGTGCAGACCGAGGAGTCAAGAAGGAAGCTCTTTTATTTGGACAGAAATAATCTTAAAGCAGCAGTAGATGAGGAAAATTAGACGTGCTGAGTGAATGTAGGTGCTGGGATACCAGCCTGAGAAGAAGGTGTAGTTTGAAATGTCGGAGGATTGCAGTTTACTGAAGTGTTTGGTAATTTTGAGGGGAAGAATTACTTTAATAGCACTAACTCTTTCTGTTGTCTAGTCTGTGATATTATGTAGTATGACAATTTTTTTTTCTTTCCTTAAAAACTAGGAGTAGGCCGCCACTTAATGAGGAAATTAAAGCTTCTTTAAACAACCTAAATAAGCTAAAAGCATAAAAAGGTAAATTACTTAGCTAGTACCTGGCTTGTATTAGTTTATAGTCTAGATACCATTTAATTCTTTCAATTCTTGAAAGTTACTAATACTTTCTTACTTGCTCTTTTCATATAGAAATAAGGCTTAAACAATTGTGTTTGCATGGTATTTCTTAGTTGGTGGCTGAGAGAAAAACAGTTTTACAAATAAGAAGAGCTCTTGGATTACAGGTGTTTTAGTTTGGGTTTTTTTTTAATTTTATTTGCATTTTCCTCCCCTACTCTCCTTCAAAAATAGTGAGTTAGCAAGTGTATCTGCCTCTGTCAGTCAGGCTGTTTAATCCTCTTAATAAGCCTTAGACTTCATGTTTACAGTCTAGCAGTGAGATCCACCGTTGACCTGTATTTTTCTTAATATATATTACTTTTTAATGGAGTGGACTTTCCTGCTTCAGAGGAAGGATGGGTGAGAGGGTAGCTTACAATATCAAACTAAACTCAAGTTTCATTGTTGCACTGTAGCCTCCTTTGGTCAAGTCACTTAAAACCACAGAGTATATCTATACTGATAGAAGAAGAAGGGCTCAAGTGCTCGACTGATCTGTGATTATTTACAGTGCCCTTTGGCTCTTGCCTCAATTTTGGACTGTCTTTCTCTCAGACAAATTTCCTCTGAATCTTAATTAACACTAAATGGTACAGATCTGAGCTGTTCTGAACAGGCCATAGGACCAAAGATTAGCTGGCAGTGCTCTCAGTATTGTAATACACATTATCCCATTCATTACAGCTTTAAAACAGAGGAAATGAGATTCAGCATTATACAGGAGTGGATTACTCCTGTAAGAAGTATTACAGGAGTAAATATTTAAATATATACAGATAAATATTAAAACATGCAGGACACTTAAATGCTATATTAAGATTGTACATTAAAAAGTGAAAAAGTGTATTCCTTGGATATGATTAAATTGCTATTTAAATGTTCTCTTTCAGATAATATTTATTCTTGTGTTGTGAGGGAGCAATTAGATAAGTTATTTAATACCATCTATTCTTTTGTATTAGTTGTAATCAATTACTAAGAAAGAATGAAATTTTAGTTCATGAAAGAATGAAAGTTTAGTTTAATGAGAACTTTTAGTTCTCACATGTTTAGCTTGAAATCCACTGTGATGTCCTTCCTCCATTTCCAAGTGCACTGCCAATCAGATGCATTATTTGGAGGTGACTGTGCTGCACATGTACTGCAAACTTGGGATGTTTCAGACAATCAGAGTTCCTGAGCCAGCTTTTGTGGCTGTGCTGTGCACCAGTGCTCTGTGGACACTGATGGTGCTGACATGTCCATTTCCTTACAGAGCTTTTCCAGTGTCATTAAAGACTGAGCTTTAGCAAGAACAGTGCTGTTGTCAGTATGAGAACTATACAGTGAAGATTAAATGAATTAAATAATAAGTTGAAATGTAGTTAGTATTTTACTTGATGTCACTTCTTGTTATATGCTAACAATCACTAGCAAAAGGATTATTTGAAACCTGTAAAGTATCTTTGCATTAGCCTCACCCAGAAAAAAACCCCAAATCAATAAACATGGGTCAAAGGGGACTTGTACTGCAATTGTGCTCACACAAATGAATCATTTACTTCAAGCCTTGAGAAAGGACTTTATACAGGCTTGGGGATACAGGCACAAAAAATCTTAAATCACTACGTTTTGCTCAATAGAGAAGTAAATGGTGATGATAGATTAAACTTGTCTGTCCTTCTCAGTCTTCTAAATATTTTCTGTGTTTTAAGAACCTACAATTCTCAAATCAGAGTCTTTACTGTTAAATTGGTTTTCATCTTCATACCCTAATTAAAAGGAAAAGTGGATTTTTCAATAGTAAGTACAAGTGTTGACATACAGTGATGTGCTTTGCCTGTCACCATGTTTTTCTGCTGTAAGGATCCAGCTATATTCACAGCCTTGTAAGGAGTTCGTTCCAATTGCTTTTACTCTGTTTGCTGTTGTGCTGGTCAGGAGCATACTCTTAACTTCCAAAGCTGATGTCCTTGGTGATTAGTAAATACACACTTATGCCAGTGTTGTTCTTTAGCTTAAAGATGCTGAGCCTCTTGGCAACAAGTGACTGCAGTCAATCAGCAAACTCTCCTCTAGCCCAAAATTTGCTACATGATGGGCAGTGAACGTGGTGGCTTGAGCTGCTGCTGACCCACTCCACTGGGCTGCCTTCTCTGTTTTATTCTGAGCTATGTATCTGTTGTTGCGCTGAAACCACACATCTTGACTTTATGTGAAATTGGATTCTGTAGCATCACAAAAACAGATGCCTCCCAGATTACATGGCACTTCTGTTGTGTGACTGCAGATGCACCAGTTAACTAAATGCTTTCTGCATTTTCGTTGTAGAGTGTGGGAGCAGAACACAGTATTCTTTGCCTCTTTAAAATGTTTTCATGACCTGTACTTTGTAAGTTTCTTTGTTTTTGTTGGAGTAGAGGAAGGATATTTTCCAGATTATTTTTTTTTTAGTTTGTTGATAGTCTAAAACAAGAAGAGACATTAAGTAAACTTAAATGTAGGTACTATTTCAGGATTTTATTACAAGTTTGGATTAATTATTTTTTCTTTCCAAGTAATTATTTATTATTACTGATCTCCTTTCTTCTTTTCACCCATTATATTTGTAGAGACTAATCCAATCTCTTAGCCTTTGTTGTATTGCCTTGGTAAGCCAAACCTACACCTTTCTAGGGAAGAGTGATTGATTCATCAGAGAAAAAACCTTCCCACCTCTTCCTCTTCTGGCACAGCTTCCTTGGATGTGGCTCAGTGTGTGAATTCTCACCAAAGCTCTGTACCTTGGTGTTAATGCTTCTGCCCACATAGTGGACGTATTTTCAGTTTTGCACTTTGTATTTTACTTACCCCCATGTTTTCTGTGGCTTAATATCATTGTGATTGACAGATGTCTCCTTTCTTTCAACTCCCTTACTGCAGAGAATCATGGTTTTGCTTGAAAATATCTGCTCTTTAATTTAATACAGTATCCCATTTTTGTTTGATCATATTCTCTTCTAGTATAATTGCCTGCATTTCCTCTCAAGTCTGCCAGCAATAAAACCCAAACCAAACCCAAATTCATTGGAATTAATTATTTGTATTTCCTGTGTTTGGCCAAGACTGACAATCTGTGTACAGTTAAAACAATGAGTTAACAAATTTTAGAATTCAAACAAGCCTGCTGGATTCTTTTCCACACTTCAGCTGAAATACATCAGGCATTTTGAGGAATGCATTCTGAAACAGACTTAGAATCTGCAAACTTTTGTACATGTGGGAACTTCCAATTTTTTGCACTAGGGGTGCAAGGATTGTAAAACACCAGTTGCCTTTTCTCACTCTATAAACACTGTAAAGGAAATAAGTAATTCCATGTTTTTATTTTGTAAAGCACAGCTTTAACTGTTCAAAGTATATCACAGTTTTGTTTGTTGATGTTAGTTGATCAAGATCTAAAAATCTATTGAGTGCTTTCTCTTAAATTATTCAAATGGAAATATACTGTATGAAAGTTCAGCCTTTATTTAAAAAGACAAAATGGTAACTGAATTTTTTAAAATCTTAGAGATGTTTTTGGGAAAGTTTGATTTTTTTAAAGTTAGTTGTTTATTCCTCTTGTTTGCTACTGATCTTGAAGATGAAAAATTTAGTATCAGGCACGCCCATGTTCTTCTGATGTTTAATTATTAAGAAATAAATATCTGTGATGCAACTATATTTGATGATTGTAGATTCCTTGCTGTCTTGGAGTCATGTCAGCTGAATCTGAATGTTATTAGGAGATAACATATCAGACATTGTTCCAAGCAACTAGATAGATTTCTGCTAATACAGGCAGTAGGGTCATCATTAAGAAGACATTTTATTCTAAGGTAAACATTGTTTGGCTTTCTCTCTGTATATTCTTATTGATTTTTATTCCAATTTGCAGTAATGGAACAACTGCCGGATCCGGTTATGCAAGCAGATGCAAATATTAAAGCCATTAATGAAGAGTACAGGAAAGCCTTTATTTTTATCAATAAAGGACTGAACACAGATGAACTGGGTCAGAAGGAAGAGGCAAGAAGCTACTATGAGCAAGGGCTTAACCACTTGCTCCGAGGAGTTAGCATTCCATCAGAGGGTCCTGAGTGTGCAGGGCCCCAGTGGGAGTCTGCCAGGCAAATGCAACAGAAGATGAGAGAAACCCTGCAAAACGTTCGTGCTCGACTCGGCAGTCTAGAGCAAAACACCCCACCAGCACAAGCATCTCCTGCTATGATGGATACCCCTCCTGGGGTGCCCAAATTATACCCCTCCATTCCTTCCAAAGAAAAGCCAGAAAGACCCCCTCCCCCTAATTCTCTGCTTGTTCCAAGTCAGTTGCCTGCAGCAGATGGAAGTGTTGCAGCTGTGAGTCAGGGGCAAATTCCAGCTATGAGTCCATCATCTGCAAAACCTCTTTGTCTGCCAAATGAAGCACCTCCTGCCTATACTCCTCAAGCTACCAATGGCCACTTTACTGTGTCCTATGGCACAGACTCTGGGGAGTTTTCTTCTGTCAGTGAGGACTACTACAACAACAAATGTACTCAGCCACCTCCCCTGGAAAACCTGGGAGTGGATGCAGATGAGCTGATCTTGATTCCCCAAGGAGTACAGATATTTTTTGTGACTCCTGACGGGCAGGTTAGTGCTCCTTCATATCCTGGATATCTGCGCATCGTCAAGTTCTTGGATACAGATAGTGAAGCTGCTCGGAATCGTCCACCGGCATTTCTTCAGGTAACAGGAAAATAATTTTCTCCTTTAATTAAAACTGTCATAAAGCTCTAACAGGAAATCTTCTTAGGTTCTTGCTCTTGTGAGCCTAAATGTCCCTGTGATGAAGGATGTTACAGGTGCTGCAGAAATGGTTTTCTGCAGGTACACACTTCTACAACTCTTTCTGTGGAAAGCACCTCTGTGCCTTCCCAAGGTTTTCAAGTGCTCACTGTTCTGGTGAATTCTAGTATGTAAAGGACTTGACTTAACATGTCTTTCCATTTCATAAAATTGACTTGTTTTTTCATGAGAAGACATGAAAACATTTTGATTCACCTGTTGTAACAAATCAGGATAAAATGAGATTAGGGGCTACCCACTTCATTGTTAATTAGTGATAAGGTATTGCAGTTACAACTGATAATTTGAAATATGAGAGTCCATGTTAATCCAGACTCAGTACTACAGATAAAAAAGATGCATTATTTGTACTTTTTCAGTCCTTACTTTCTTCATGTGGGCATGTTCTGTAATGAACATAATATTTCTGGTCTGGATTCTGACTTTGGATCTTCTTGTTACAGCTAAGATTGGCTGTTTTGGGGTCTGCTGGATCCTGATCTGGGGTCTGCTGGTTCAGCTCCACTCATGTTAGGTGTCTTCAACAGTAGGCCAGTGACAGCCATGCATTTCTGTTTGTCCTGTCATATAAACCTGTCCTGAGATCTCCAGAGTGGTACAGGCACTGTGAATCCTGACTTGTTTGGCAGTTCTTTTCATTCGGGCCTCAAGATGAGACCTCAGTTAAGAGAGGACCAGCCTGAATTCTAGTTCTGTGACAATTAATACTTTCTCTATATTAGACTGTCAGAACTAATCAAGAATGAGAGTTCCAGAATCACATGGGGATTGTTTTTCTTTTTTCTTTTTTTTCAGGATGGTATAAGGCTTTTTATTTTTCATCATAGAATCATAAAACAGTCTGAGTTGGAAAGGACCATAAAGCTAATTTATTTCCACCCCCACTGTCATCAGCAGGGAACCTTTCACTAGAAGGTTCCACTAGAAACTTTATGGAAAATCAAGTTTAGGGCGTGTTTCAGTATGTTCTGCCTATCTTTCTTTTTAAAATCATCCTTTGATTCCATGTACTTGTTTTTCCTAGGTTTGTGACTGGTTGTATCCTCTGATGTGTACTCAGTCTCCTGTTCTGTGCTGCAATACTGGGGTCTACATGTTCCCCGACACGATGTCCCAGATACCAGGGTCCTACGTGGGAGTAGTGCTGTCGTCAGAACTTCCAGCAGCTGACAGAGAGCTGTTTGAGGATCTGTTAAAACAGATGTCTGACCTACGAATCCAGGTAAATTTCTGGGCAGTCTGTTATAAGCCAATAAGGGAAGGTATAAATCATCAATATATCGTCACATTTACATTTAGTTGTGTAAAATGACAGATTTTTGTCTTGGTGGTAAGCTCATCTGTGAGAAATAGATAAAGTAGCCGTGATAAAGCAGCATTGTAATGAAACTGTCGGTCCTGTGAGATGACACAACAGAAGTTTTAAAATACTAAACTGTAAGCACGGAGTGGAGTTCAAGATAATTTTTAATATTTTCTCTATTTTTCTGAAAGAGACAGGACCCAAAATGAAATTACGTGTTCAGGAGAAAGCATGCTTTTCCTTATGTGTACATGCACATAACTCTCAATGTAGTTTTGATGATGGCATTCTTGGAATATCATGCCCAAATGTGTTTACAGTTCAAAAATGTTAAGCCACTTCAGAGAAGATCTGTGAAAATAGTATGTACTTCAGAAATCTGCCTTCCAATGGGATCTCAAAGTAGATGAATTTGCTTTATTTGCTTGAATACTGCTTTATTGCAGTAAGATGTTGACAGGTAGAGAAAACAAACAAAAAAAAAAACATAGTCTAAAAAATGTGCAATAAAATTCAGTGATTTTTAATAAAGTGGAAAATATTACTGTAAGAGCCCTGGTGCATAATTTCAGAAAGAGTGGTGATCAATAGCTACTTAAAAGATTATAGCATGATTAAATATTTTCATGCAAGAATGTTGTTGATTCACCAAAAGCTGAATTCATTGATGATGAAGGACCAGTTTGGAGCATCCCATGAGGATAGAGTTCTGTTAGGGTGTAAATCCTGGTGAGTTCAGCAGGGAATTTCACTAGCACAGGAGGCCACTAACTTTTCTTAAAAGAGGAAAGTACTACAGAACTATGTGATATTCACTCACTGGATAAAATTCTGTCATTTTTCCTGTGTAGAAGTAGTTCAAATTGGATATCTTATTAGTTCTATATTTCCCTAAAACTTTGTGTTTTTGTTAATGTTCCCTGATGCGATGTCACAGGTGCCAGGATCCCATGAGAGAGTAGGGTTACCTTCAGAGCTCCCAGCAACTATGAGAGCACATTTTGAAGATAAATTTAAACAGAGGTCTGGCCACAAAGTCCAGGTAAATTCCAGGACATTCAAAAATCTTGTAGTTAAAAAAAAAAAAGTCACAGAAATGCATGTTAGAATTGCTGATTTGATTGACAGCAGCTGTGTATGCTGTCCTGTGGTTTTTTTTTTTTGTTGGATGGCTTTTTTGTGTTGTTGTTTGGTTTCTCGTCAAACACCAATTCTGTTACTGCAGCCTGCCACATTTCAAATCAGCATATTTCTGAAGTCTTAAAAACTGTGATATAGCACAAGTATTTCAAAGCCTAGTCTGATGGCCATTTAATGTGTCTGTTTTACATAGTAATTGTGAGGATCTAATTGACAACCATATTTAATATAAATACAATACTGAGTTCCCTGTCTTATTAGAGAATCCATTTTTGCTCCTTAGGGTAGATCTTAGAAGTCTTGTTGACTGGTTTTCTGTATAGTGTCCCAACCTGTGGCATAACTAAATTACATCTGGAGCACAGTTTGGGTTTTTTAATAAGGTTTTTTTTGTTTTTTACCTATAGCTGTTCACTGAGGTAATTTCTACTGCTCAGCCCTCAGAGTGTTTTGGTCACATGCTGAAGACATTTCTTGAGCTCCAAAATATCACATTGCTGTCAAACAGTAATGATGATGTAGTACATGCCAGTGATACATTGTTAACCTTCTGGGTAGCAACCTCCTAAGGTTTCATCTATTCTTTCCTGTTAATGTTGGTTTTACTACAACATTCAACATGTGCAATACCCTGCTTTTATATCCAGTAAATATTTCAGGGGAATTTAAGAATTCCCTGTATTAGGAAATACTGTTCTGTATTGTGTATTGTGATCTGCCGGTGGATTTAATCTATAAATGCTCTCATTTACATTCTTCTAGACTAAACAAAAATGTTTTTTCTTTCTGTCATTAACTAGCAGTGTTTTCAGTCTTTGAAATGCTTGAGGGGCTTATTTACTTTTACATTGGACAAGTTCTCTTAACAAAAACTTAAACCTATTCCAATTTTCTTAGGTTTCTGTAATTAAAGTTTAATTATACATTGCCTGTGAGCTGTATAAAGTGATGTTACACATTTCAGAAGTGTTAAGCAGCCTGTGGTAGTGGTTGCTGTGTTTCAATGATTAACATTTACTACAGAAATAGTAGAGTTTGACACGAAGTAACAAAGGACCTGCTCACCCAGTGTTAAATAAGGGTCAGTATTGTGCACAGTTTGATGTTTTCCTTGGCTGTGCCAGTCTGAAAAAGCAGCAACAGCACACAGCATGAATAATCTCCTTTATTTTTGAATTTGAGAGGAAAGAATGAGGAACAAAACAACCTCAACAGCAGCATTCCTTTAGTGTATCTGGATTCTCTATCCAAAGACTGCAGTTCCCATGCTGAATAACAAAACAGTTGACTTCTGTCTGAGAAGATAAAAATGAGAGATGGACAGTCTCTTATCTGTTTTGCTGGTGAACAAGTAGTGTAAATTTTCCCTGCTTGTTATTTGGCCATATGGCTTCATTGGCAAGCAAACCTTCTCATTGTAGCTGGATGAAAAAAAAGCTAACCTGCCTGATAAGCTTTCTTGGATGTCTAGAATTTTTGTGGAAAAAAACGGAGTGTTAAATTTAGCTTGAGTTTCTGTACATCTACCCAAGGCATGCACAACTTTAGTATTATTTGACAGTGGATGTGTATGAGCTAAACTAGAAATACTGATGATAGATTGCAAAGTAGATGCTCAGATGTTTGCTTTCACTTGTCAGCCTTCTGAAGCCTCGAGTGATGCAATTCACTTGCCTCAGACTGTACATATCCAGCCACAACCTGAAGAAGCAGAAGATCAGAAAGAGTTACCAGAATGGAGTGAGAAAGTTGCCCATGGAATCTTGTCAGGTACAGCTGTAATAAGGGGACTTGTGTTGAACAGAAACCAATGTTAGTGACATTTAAACATATTTTCACCTGAATGCATGGGTGCTGATAGAAGCGGAGTCATCAGAAGTAGTTGTGCACTAGTTCCAGTGTTGATCCTCTAAAGGAGGCCTTGATGAGCTTTATAAAAACACGTAGAATATAAATCCATTGCCAACAGTTTGTTCATTGCAAATGAGTTTGGCTTCTCATTTGACTCTATTAGAATATCACCTGCTGGGACTCAAACCACTGTGACAGAACAATTTTTCCTGTATGAACACATATTGCAGTAGGCATCTGTTGTGATTTCTGCAGATAAACATGTGGGGTTTTTTTCCTCTGAGAACCTTTGGAATATACAGATGACCAACAGCTGATTGTATATGAATCTGCAAGGAGGGCTAGAGGGTTGGGTTTGTATGTTTTCCTGAGTGCTAATAGTATTGAGATGTGCAGTTCTATAAATTCTAACTGAGCTGGTGCTGGCATATCCATGAAAAAACTGAGTATCTGAATTAGGCTGATGTTTGGATGTGGGCTGGCTGTAATAAACTTAAATAAAATGAATGTAAAAAGTGGTGGTGTATGTGCAGAAATTACTGCAGGACTTCTGTGCTGTCCCATTCAGGGGACAATATAATTGCAGACTCCAATGAGGAATGTTTCTAAACCTTCCTGTTTTGCAGAGGCAGAGGAGGGATAGATGAAGGAATCACAGTCCATAATATTGTACATACTAAGAAAAACAATGTTTGCCTTGAAGGTGCATCTTGGGTAAGCTGGGGCCTGATGAAAGGAGCAGAATACACGGGTAAAGCTATTCACAAAGGAGCTTCTAAACTGCGAGAGCACATTCAACCAGAAGAAAAGCCTGTGGAAGTCAACCCAACTGTAGCAAAGGGGCTTCACGTAGCAAAACAGGCTACTGGAGGAGCTGTGAAAGTCAGCCAATTCTTAGGTAAAAATTTCTATCTCATAGAATATAAAATTTTTGTCTTAAATAATAAAAACTTTGTAAAATGCAAGCTGGTTTCTCTAGCCAGTAAACTGGAGGAGTTAGTGACTTGATAAAATTCAGAGATCAGTAGTTTGTACCTAGTTATCTCCTGCAAGAGATGTGCTTTAAGTCTAGTACGTATTACTTGGCCTTGAGACATCCTTTTCTTTCCTAAAAGAATAGTCTGTACAGTCTTAAGTTTGCCATGCTTTTGAAAGTTTTAGACAGTTAATTCAAAATGTTGTCTCTTATTTTTTAAAGTTGATAACCATATTCTTTAAACCTCTACTCTGACTGGTTACTAACATACAGTAACAAGAGAATGTGTGTGTACATATTTTTAAACACACACACCTGAAACAAGTCTATCTAACTATGTATAAATATCAAAATGGAAATGGCCTGGTATTCAGAGATGCCTGGAAACCCTAACAACTCACAGTAACTTAATTTTGTTATTTATTTGCATATAATGTTTATATTTACCATCTAGTGACTCATCCAAGTTTAAAACTAAATTGTGCTGATCTTATATAACTACTTTGAAGGGTTGGAATGCTTGTAAGAAAGACTTCTACAGAAGACAAGTCAGGAAAGCAGCAGCTTGTTCTCTATCTACCAATTAGAGATAACAAAGCAGTGGAAACAGTTTGTTGAAATTTGAGTGTGAGATGCGTATAAATGTCTTTTAAGGCACTTATTATTCACAAGGCCAACGTTACTTGTTTCTTAGGACTTGCAGCTATGTAGAACCTGAAAAATAAAGTTGCTTTGTATCAGTTGGGCGCTTACATGTGGATTAAAGTCTGTCTTTTATATAAGCGTATTTAAATAGAAACATCACTTAAGACTTCACTGAAACTTCCTGTTAATTATGATTAAAGATTTTTAAAGAAGCATGTTCTATGTTCTCACTAAATAACCTGCATACTGTTGTTTTGTGGTAGTTGAAGGGGTGTGTTCTATAGCAAGCTGTGTCGGAAAGGAGCTGGCTCCACACGTGAAGAAGCATGGCAGCAAATTAGTTCCAGAATCCCTAAAGAAAGATAAAGATGGAAAATCTACTTTTGATGGTGCTCTGGTTGTAGCAGCAAGTGGAGTTCAAGGTAATAAAAATTCCCTACACTTTTTTTTTTAAAAAATTACATATTTTTAATGGTATGAACTGAAATAAGCTGATTGTTTCTACAGGGTTTTCAACAGTGTGGCAAGGTTTAGAAAGTGCAGCGAAGTGCATTGCTAAAAGTGTTTCAACTGAGACTGTAAAAACAGTCAAATACAAGTAAGTAACATTTTTAATGTTTTCATCTTCTATAGCACACTGTTACTGTCTCTGAATACTGTCAAGAAAAGCTTATGAAAGTGCAGGGAAGCTAACTGAAATGCCTCCTTTGCTGTAATTATGTAGCATGTGATAAGGTGGTAAGTAACGAGCATCTCTTGTATGCAAAAATCCGAAATGAGGAGTTGGAGGAAGTATTTTTTTAGTTCTTTGTAGAAGTATTACAGCTTCAGTCTGTCTTACAAACAATGTTCAGATTTATATCTTTGCTCTATTATGTAATATCATTATGAAAAAAATTTCTGGTTTAAACCTCTGAGCTCTAATCCTGAATTTATGCAAACTTAGCTAAATTTATGAAAAATAAAAGAATCTTGTCTGTCACCAGCTTTGGCTAAAGCAAGGCAGTACAAAAATTAAGAAAATTTTGTAAGGAAATCTAAGATATATATAGCAATAATAGAACAGTCTCACTTGCAGAATAAAGATGTTCTTAGAAGAAGACAGTAGGAGAAGAGGACAATAACATTTGGGATTAAGATGATGATACTGAGTTGATGGAAAGATGAAAGCTGTATGCATGTGGAGAATAATGGAATATATTGAAATAACTGTGAAACATGAAATGCACCCCTCACAAAAAGGGCAGTAGATTTAATAGAAAGTGAAGAGTAAGCAGAAGCAAGCAGTTTCAATGGAATTGGTGATAAGTGTAGCAAAAGAGATATTTAAAAGGATTGCTGAAAGTGCATGCAGGCTACAAGCCAATGGTAACAAGATAAACATCAGCATACAGTATTAAGCAGATTGGCATTCACGATTGTGTTGTGATGCATTTCAAATGGGAGGCTAAATAGCAAAGTTCTAGTCAGGTGTGGTTTATTGCTAATGTTTTTTTTGCAGTAGGAATGTCAGGAGAAATTGTACTGGTACTCATTTCACATAAATTCATGTTAATGTTTTTGTTTTAGATACGAATATAGGAAATATGGAGATCAGCAGAGAACAGACACTAAGAGTGAAAAACAATAAGTAACTACCTGTTGTAGCTAACTGCAGTATGATTGAAAATATTTGATATGGAATCTTTAACATCTATCCTTGTAATTAGATTAAAATTTTACATAATCTCCCTTCTGTAAGCTGTTCTTTTTATTTCAGTGACAAAGATGTCTGCCACTCAAAATACCAGTGAATGAGCTAAATTCCACTTAATGGAAACAAAGCTAAAGGGGCACCATCAGTGTCTCTAAATAAAATTTGAAAAAAGGCTAAAATTTAGCTGCAGTACCTTTGTGGATGGAATTTTAAAGAGATGCTCATCATATGCATGTTGATTAGAATGGGTGGGAAAATGTAGCTTCAGAAGTAATGTGTCTGCCAAAGTCCCATGCTACTAACTTTTTTTAAAACTATTTAAATAAATGCAGTGTATATATCTGCACAATTTTTAAGAAAAGAGTTAAAAATTATGCACTTCAGGCAGGCAGACTAAAAAATTAGTTATCAGACATTAGGAAGTTGTTACTCTTACTGTACTGGATAAGCTACAATCGTACTTTAAATGAGGTTACTTATTTTACTGATGCTGTACTAGCTTATGATGTTCCTGATGTGAAAATAATCAAATTGACAAACTAATCAAACTGACAGATACATCTGCTGTGAGATTAATTCTCTGTCCTGCAAATCCAATGTTGATGATTCAAGGCTGTTGCTCTATCAGAGAATTAAGGAAAACAAAAAAAACACGAATTCTTTTTATTTGGTCTCATTGTTAGTTCCAACCACACGCTCTGGCTGTTCTACTGATATATCATAGATTTTTTGGATTCTTTGATATTCTTTGCTTCTCTCTATCTTGAGGTCCTCAAAGAACCTCTTGTCTTAACAACCACAGGGAAAAAGTAACTCTGCTGACTGCTGGGATTCTGATGCTGCCAGGAATACTTCCCTTTTCCCTGGTTTGTCTGACTGCAGAGCTCTCTAGAGAAATGTCTGTCTACCCAGAACAGTTGAAGTTACTGTTCTCACTGTGCTCTTGTCCTCCTTCATTGTGCTCTCTGTGCACAACTGAGTCCTTAGTGTGAGACTGCCAGCTTGCCCACTAAAGCACAAAGAAGCTGGACTCACAGCCCATGGGAGAGAACAAAGGTTTTTATTGCTTCATAATTTTCATTGTGTCCTCAAGATAGTTTTGTTGACCCTTTTGGAGTTCTGTATGATGCAGCATTCCAGGTGGGGGTCTCAGAAGAGAAGAGGAGAGGGGCAGAATGGCCTGCTGGCCATGCTGCTTTGGATGCAGCCTGGGATACAGTTGGCTTTCAATATAGAGAGTGTAGGAATTTTACCTAAGAACTAAGGTGAAAAAGGACCTTTAGTGATTGCACAAAACTTGTCTCCCCTCCCTTCTTATCATTCTATAAATAGGTTTTTACTCTTCAAAATTGGAGGGGAAAAAGGGAGAAAGACTGGAAGTGTTCTTGAAGAAAAAGAGAAGGAGCATATTGATATTTTCAAAGAGCAATTGATCTGATAGAGGAGCAGCCTTTATTCAAATGGCTTCATAAATTCTAATTTTATTCTTTAGACATTTGGGCACTGTGCTTTTTTTTTTTTTTTTTTTGAAAATACCTGAATTTTGGCTCTCAAAAGAATTCAATGAAGATTAAAATACTAAGTATACAAATCTACAAAACTGTTCTCTTTCCTTAGGTATGGAGAGGATGCTGGTGATGCTACAGACAACGCTATGAATTCTGCAATCAATGTTGGTGTTACAGCATTTAACATTGAAAATATTGGTATCAAATCTGTGGTAAAGAAAACTGCGAAGGAAACCGGCCATGCTGTGCTAGATGAATATAAAGTATTGGATAATGAAAAGAAGGCTAAAAAATGAAAGCAATTAAGTACTTCTCAGAGCCTTACATTAGAGATTAAACTTCCTATTTAGAAGTAACTACACTGCTCATCTGACATTGAACATAAGTCACAATGTACTTTTCAAGCAACTGTTACTTAATTTAAAAGGAAAATGTAAAAGGAGGAAGAGTATTTGCAAGAGGAAAAATGAAAGTTGTCACCTCCTTGTTCAGTACAGAACAAGAGGTTTAAACAACTGGATCAGGGCTTTAGGCAACTGGAAGTTTGCAGTTCATATACTTGCATCTTTAAGCACTTTTACAAAGTAATATATAGAATAATAGATTAATATAGAAATACTATTGTGAGTATTTTTGTAACACTTTATATTTATAAAGAAGATGGTGATACAGAAAGAGTAGGATGGCTAGTTCTGGAATAAGTAAAATTACCAGTTTTGGCTTTATAACTATCCTTAAGATTTAGTTTTACTAATCAAGCCTTGTCTTATTTAGTATGTACTACTAATATAAGCATTGTGTTTCATTGTTTCATAGAGAATTTCTCTTTTCACCTACAAAAAAGCTGATCTTACCCAAAGTTTATGCTAGGAGAAATGAAAGATGAACCTCAGGTAATTAGGTAGTCATTCCCTTTTAAACTTTTATTTTTCCTCATCCAGCATATAAGTAAACCAAAGATACCAAGTATTTTTTCTAAAAGAGAGTATTTACAGTTCTAGAAAAATGCATTTTCCAGTTGACTTCATAAGGAATATACAAAGATTCCTTGAAATTCAGGTTTTTATGTAGAGAGAATAAGTATGGTTTTGCATAAATTAAAGTATTTTTCTGTGAAAATATTAGAGGGCACTGGGAAATTCTATGCATTCTGTACTTTTCAGCTGATCCAGAAAGATTGAGATTATATATCATGACCTCATAATGGAAGACTCCTAATGTTTGAACAAATAGGTCTATTGGTCGTCATCTTTATTCCATTAAATTGATAGTTGCACAAGGGTGTGAAGCATTGAAAAAGACAATGAAGACAAACCCTTTTAATTAAGAGTTGTGCAAAATAGACACTTCTGTGTAGATTTGTCATCCCATTTGTACCACAGTATAAAATAACTCAAGATATTAAATCCTTGAGATGCTTTGACACTGCTACTTATTTAACACTTTACTATTGAGTCTTAAAGCTACTACACATTCTAATATTGGCTGGACCTACAACAGGCAGAATGCCAACCTGCAACTTTTCTCCATTTCATGTAGATGGAGAAAATAACTATAAATTGTTGGTGGCAAGTGATATTTGTTGAAGACTGAAAACAACTACAGTCTGTTAGAATGGTAATAGGTGCATATTTTGTGGTAGCTACTGCAGGTGTGTGCTTTAAAGTGAGAAATGTGAAAGAAAGGATCTAACCACTTGAAGTGTAACTTTGATTTATGCAATAAAAATAAAATCTGTGCTTGATCTTTTATGATATGAAGCTACTATATGGATCCATAAGTGGAAGAACTAAGACTTCTTCAGAAATAATAAAATAGCAGTATTGGGGTATCTATACAGTATAAACAAGCTCATAAACTAGAGCTTAAATATTTCAAACTAATAAGTTCCATCCAAAGTACACTGCAACAATTTCTGTTACTATAGTCTGCCACTTGTCAGCTTGTGTAACCAGTTAAAGATTGCTGAAGACTTAACTCTAGCAAAAACATTTTTTGTTCCTATGAGCTGTATTTACAGTAGGGATATAGGTATTTGTATCTTTTCTCCCTCGCATTTCAAGGTTTTGCATACAGCTCATACCATTCAGTTTCATCTATAAACCATCAAAGCAAAAAGTTGCATTAAAACAACAGTTAAGATAAAGGTGTTACAGCCTTCAAGAGACCACATTGGAGAACACTGAGGAAAAACAACATTTAAATGCCATCATTATCAGGTAGTGGTGTCCTGCTTATCCTGCTGTTGTTCTCTTCATGTGTATGTCTTTCAAAATGGATTAAAACTATTTTTTGAATGATGCCTACCCCATTTTGCAGTTTGTAATGTGATATATCCATGATCTTCCCTTTTACATTGTTCCAAAGTTAAGTTAATTTTCCCAGCTGATAGTATGATGCTTGAACTTACCTTGCTTCCCCTGCCACTTCTTCGGCCCAGGGTAGCACTCCATAGGTTCTCCTCCATTCTTCCATCATATACAACAGCCTTCTCACATTTACTGCCTTATCTCAGCTCTCTCTTTTTTATATTAAGCTCCCAAAACCTCCTGTCTTAGGTTGGCTTTCTATTCATAGCTTGGTTTTGTTTCTTTGAACATCTTTTGATACATGGAAGTCCTAGAGATTTTACTAAGCCATGTAGTGTATTAGCTATTATGTGATTTTCTACGGCATTCTTACTTCCAAATTTATTCAAATACTTTTCTACTACAATATTGGTCTCAAATCTTGTCTTGAGAGGATTACTTTCAATGATCCCTAAGTCATTCTTAGCTATGGCCATCTCTGGAATTTTCATAATTGTGTAGATATAAACCATAGTTCTTATCTCAAATATAAAACCCCTGTATTTGAACAGATTCTTTTAGATTCCAAGGGTTGTTTGATTGGTTTGTTTAATGCTGTTTAAAAACCAACTTGGAATAGCCTGTTCTTAATGTTCCCTGAATAAATCCATAATCCTTTTAAAAGAATTGGTAAACCTATCTTCAACTACAAAAAAACATGCTGACCAGCTTCAGATACAATGATGAGGGTTGGAAGGAGCCCCTGGTCTGTAATCCACCTCCTGCTCAAAACAGGTCTAGTCTGGAGCACAGTACTCTGCCCCAGTTCTGCTCATGTTGTGATTATCTCCAAGGATGGAGACTTCACAGCCCTTCTGGGCAACTTTTACCCAACTCAATATTTCCCCTTATACTGAGCCAAACATTTTTAAATGCGGGTGCATTCTATTGCATATCCTTTCATCATGCACACTGGAGGAAACTTTGGCTTCTCCCTCTTACTTAGACTTTCCTATTACATAGCTAATTACAGCACTAAGCTCTCCTTATGCCTTCTCCAGCCTGAACAAAGGTAAGTTCCTGACCTAATGCAGCCCTTGGGACTTGTTTGGGAGTCAAAAGCTAAGCACTTCAGCATGTGTTGAACAGAGTGGAAGAACTGTCTCCCTCAGGCTCCTGGCCATGCCCTTGTTATGGCAGCCCAGGGGCCCTTCAGTCTTGTTTGCTGTAAGCTGTTGGCAGCTCATGGCAGCTTCTTCACCAGGAAGGCTGTGTCTTCTACAACACTGCATTCTAGACACTACTCCAGCCTTATTGATCCGTGGGCTTTACCCATGCCAGATATTGTGCTTTGCACTTGATTTTTGTTGAATTTCATTGGATTTCTCCAGGCTGTACACCTACCTGTGAATGGTCACCCTTTTCCTCCTGCATCCTAACTCATCACCATCGTCAAATTTGCTGGGCTGGTGCTCAATCTTCCAGGTTGTCAATCAGGAATTAAGGGTATTGGCTCAGGCATTGATCCCAGAGTCAAGCAGTCATACTGCTGATCTCCACACTTCAAGCCTGACGGCCCAGACAATTTTCCAGAAGCCTTATGAACCAGTTATCCAATCTAGAATTCACCAATTCAGCTATAAAAGTAGTGTGGGAGACCACATGAAAGTCTTTGGTTAAATCAAAATATACAACATCCACAAGTTTTCCCTTGCCCACACAGCCATTCATCATACCTTAGTTACTGGTGCTACAAAAATAACTTCTTTGTAAAAATCAATTTATGCCTTCAGCAACTGGTTTACCTTGCTTTTAAGTAATTCTAGGTGTTTAATGCCTTTACATATAATAAATACTTATTTAAATATAAAATTCTGTTTTCAGAACACATTGTGTTGTGACCAAGTTTTTTAGCTGTTCTTACTAAAATTTTTGAACTCAACCCATTAAAAGCCTTAAAACAATGATAATGCCTTTAGCAGTATCCATATACTTAATTTTAACCAATTTATTTGGAATAAAGAAATGGAGGAAAATTCTTTAGTGCTGCAAATGTCATTATGTTACTGCTGTGATTCTTAAAAATATTGATGGTTTGAAGTTTTACACACTGTCCTGGTTTAGGGCAAATTTGGGAGAAAACCTACAAAGGGGTTCCTCTAGAAAGCAGATTCGAGCAGCCCCTCCTCTAGCTGGTTTGGGAAAAAGCTTCCTTGGAGAAAAGTGGAAAAAACCTGTTTATTGAACAGGCAAAGCATTCACCAGCACAAAAAAGGGACAATATTAAATAATAAAACCTCTTGCCACTCCAAACAGATGACAAACTCAGAAAGTCCCCTTTATGGGCGGTAGGTTGGCTCACTCAGTTTACTATCAGTCTCTAGCGCAGGAAATGCTGCGGTCCAGGCCCAGCCCAATGGGCCACAGGGGCAAGTTCACAGTGCTCTTCAGAGCAGGTTCAAACTTCAAAAAGAAAAACCCACAGCCCAGGAAACTCCTCTGCCTCAACTAGCTAAAAACTAACTAAAAACCAAAGGAAAGCTCTCTCCTGCCATCTGTCCATGCGCAGATAATACAGTCAAGGAAAAAGATGTGGGGGAGCAAATGCGGTCCCTGATAACAAGCTCTACACTTCTTCTCTCCCCCCCCCTTCACTTGGAACCAGTCTTAAAGGTGCAGAACTTGTTTCTAGGCTAAACAGATGAATGGGGATACAATTCAGCATTATAAAGTCACCCCGGAACACACACACAAGACCTCAGTCCACCAGACGCTTTTCTCTCATTTCAGTTCCCAAACCATCATGCGAAGCACCCCGTTAGACCTGCAGTGCTGTGCCTACCCAGCCAGTGTGGTCTGGGCTCATCCTTATGTGCACAGTGACCTGGTTCCTGGGAGTTTACCTGGTTAAGACACCTAGTAATCCCTGAGTGAGGGTGGGACCTGAAAGTATCCTGGAGAGGAGGTCAAATTAAAGTCTCCTGGGGCAGAAAGAGTACGCTGTGGGTGGGGATACAGCCCTCAGTTCCCCTGTGCTCTCTGTTCTCAGACTTCTATTCCAGGCCTCTTCCTGAGCTTTCTGAATGTGCCCACCCATTGAGAACAATTCATCAGGCTGGTTACATTAATCTTGAAGCAGTTGTTCACAAAAACTTGTAACAAGAAAAATGGCTACTGATTAAAACCTTTGCTGTTAATATTTAGTACAGTTGGTGAGTTAGAATGCTAACGTAGGTCCAAGTCATTACTTAAATTACTGTCTTGTTATGAAATGTGTTTTCAATATGAATCTTAAAAAGGTAGCATTCAGTAATACATGAAAGCTAAATGAGCAGCTAAATTTAAATGCAGTTACAGTGCAGCAGTCTTCTAAATTTGTTTCTTGATTAAATTATATCAGAAAATTTTGAATTCAACCCACACCAAAGATGGTAATTCACTGATTAGCTGATAGCATCAGTTATAACTTGAGACTCAAAAATCATCTCCTGCTCAAGAGGAGGAGTCTCATATATCAGACAAGTGAAATTAAAATTACTTTTTCTTCTTAGAATCAGTCTTCCCACTCTCCATCCTACTGTTGTACTCCCATTCATTAGGTCCTGCTGGATTAATGCCCTGCTGTTGCAGTATAGGTGAGGCATTAGATTGGGTAATTCCAATGTGACACACTACCACTTTAGGATTACAATTCACAGCATTTCAGGACTGGTTTATGCTATGTTAAAGTAATGATAATACATAACCTATGTTTTAAACTTTTAAATCAATGCCTCTGTTACCCAGCAAGTGGTAGGGCTATGGCATTTGGCTTGCTACTCATGCAACAGAATTCCTTGAACTGAGAAAAACATACCCTTTCTCATAATATATCAGTAAAGGAAAATTAAAGTTCATCCCCTTCCTGGGAAAGTGAACAGATAGTTCCTATAGTGAGCATTAAGTCTTGTGAAACGGTGAGTTGATCTAAGAGCGCACTAATTGCTCCCAGTTTCACCCTGTCCCTTGATCAAGTCTGGTGCTTTCCTGTGCAGCTGGTAAGGCACTTCAGATCACCAACCAGCAGAAACTGAGAACATTAAACATTTTCCCTTATGTAAGTTTTCAATGTTTCAGGAGCTGTACTGGCTCCCTGTAGAGTCACACAAATGTCAAAAGCTGGCACTGAAGCAGCCAGAGAAGGTGACAGGAAGAACCTGACAGAGTGATACCACTCTTAGAGCAATAATCCGTTTAACGCACCCCATAAAGATCTACCTTGAGAAACCCATGAACTGATCTCAAATCCCTTGTTTGAAAAATGTAACATCAAACATTTTTAATCATCAATTGAGACCATGTAAGATAATTAAATTATTCTCCAATATAGATTGACTAACACCATTGATTTGGTCAGTGATGATGATTAAGGCTGATTATTCTGGACTCTCCTGTCTCAAGTTAGGGTCTTACACACTGATTTGTAAATAACACAGATCACAATTATTGGGCATGCTAAAGGATGGGCTGATCACGCCACAAGCCAGGTTCCACCGCACTGTGCCTGCCTTCACATGTGGGTCATAGCGTCTACTTAAAATCGTGCTACTTCCCATCCAGAAGAAATACTTTTAAAAATCTGCACACATTTGTGTTTCCCTAGGTCATGAAAAGCTCAGCGCACAGTTCAACCTACACGGTCAAAACTCTTAACTGGGCCAAAGCTGTATCCTATTTCCCTCATTCGTTTCTGGTGCTGCCGAGCCCCATGCTGGGCATTTCGCTAGACCGAGGACAGGACAGAACGTCCAACGCGGGCCGTCACAGCAGCGGCGGGCGAGCGCTGCTGCAAACGCGGGCGGACGGGACGGGGCAGGTGCCGGCGGTAGCGCCCGACCCCGTCTCCTCTCTCGGCTTTTTCTGGGCAGCGGGAGAGCCGCGGGGAGTGAGGAGTAAAAAGTGCCCGAGCCGGGGCTGGGGTGGCCTCAGCGCGCCGCTCCCTCGGGCTCCCGGCCGCTCGCAGCCGTCACCCCGCGCAACGCCGGCCACGCGGGGGTGCGGGGGGACGGGCGCCGGCGGCAATGGGGGAAGGCGGCGGCCGGCGGGCGGCAGAGCCGGAGCGCTTGGCGCTGGAGCTGGGGCGAGAGAGGCGGAAGCAGTGAGTCCGGCAGGAGACGCGGCGAGGCCGGGCATTCCGGCGAGGCCGGGAACAGCGGCAAGGCGGCGCTCGGCGGCGGCTCCGGGAGCAGCCCCGCAACACCGCCCGCGGGGCGCTCCCGCCGCCTCCTTGCGGCAAAATGGCGGCTGTCTCCGCGGCGAGGGGAGCGGGCCAGGCCCACGGTGTGACCAGAGCCCCTTAGCGCGGCCCGGCTGCGTGGGGAGCGCCGCTGGCTCGGCTGGGCGCCGGGAAGGATGCGAGTGGCACGGGGAGCCCGGAGAAGCGGGATAAAACATGTCAGACGAAAAGAAAGATAGGGCCGGCCGCCGTGATTACCGCAGCAGGCAGCTCAGCACCACACAGCCGCTTGCTGCCTCTCCTCCCAGAGGGTGGGATGGGGGAGAGAAGGAAGGAATGGTGAAAGAGAGATAATTCGTGGGTTGAGACAAAGAGTGTAATAACTAAAAAGTAACAACACCACCAAAAAGGAAGCAAACCCAAGAAAAGTAATTGATGCAAAAACCTCCAGGTGTTCACCACCAGTGGGACAATCCCTTCCCTGAGGCAAAGCAGCTCCACCAAGTCCCAAGACCTTAGTTTTTGTTTCTGACTGTGACATGATTTAGTATGGGATATTGTTTTGGTCAGTGGGATCAGCTGTTCCAGCCATGTCTCCTGCCAACTCCTTGTGCACCTCCAGCCCTCTCACTCCTGGGGTGAGGAGCAGAAAAGGCCTTGACCCAGTGTAAACAATGCTTGATCGGAACCAAAATATCACTGTCCTGTAAACACAGTTTTCATCACAAATCTGAAACATAGTCCCATATCACCTACTATGGAGTGAATTATATGTGTCCAAGGCAAGCACAGAACACTGGGCTGGGAAGCCACTTTGGGGGAAAAACAGAGAAGACTTTTACATGGGTGCATGCCTCTCTGGGTGAAGACAAATAAAATGGAGAATGAGGTGCCTTTTTGGACACTTCTTTCTACAATGTTGAGTAAAAGTGGAAAGCTGGATTTCACCTGTCTCTAGGGTCAGTGAATATCTCTGAGACTTCTAAGTAAGGTACGGCATTTCTGCATGTAGTTTGCAGGGATGAGGAAGTGTTCCTTTTAGCAGTCAGTCCCCTTGCTAAAGCAGCAGTTGTTTCAGTGCTGTGATAATTGTTGATGCTCATGCCTGGTGGGATTGGTTTTTCCAGAGTTTGCTAGGAAGCTACACATTTTTCCCTGTGTTGAACAACATGATTGCCTTTTGAGTGTTAATAAATGGAAACAGGAAATGTCAGAAGCTCCTGTGCTGCCTTAATTCAGGCCCTTGATATTTACATTTACATACCATTTTCAAGCATTCTATTCATACTGATTTTTCACCTGAACAATGTTTCTTTCAGTGTCTGAGCTGCAGACCTCTTCAAACTAGTCCTGAAGTTGTGGACTTTATAAAATGTTTATTCATAAATGGAAAAGGAAAACCCAGTACTAACAGATTCAAAATGGCACTTTATGTATTCAAAATGGCACAAAAAGTAGTTTGGACATGTTTGCACCAATGTGTAAGCAAATGACCTTTAATAAATTTCTTGACTTAGTTGTGTCTCAGGGTAGGGAGATCAGTTATCCTCTGCATGCACCAGTTCTTTTACCTGACACATGCTATTAATGATGATCAGGTAAAAAGTTGAGTTGTGGTGACTTACTTATGGATAAAAGTAAAATATATGTTTTTATTAAACATAATGGTGATGGCAGTAAAAGACTTTCAGGTCCAAGTGAAAGTCTTTGTGTGCAAATTGACAGTATTATTATTGTCTGTTTCCCAGGAGCTATTTATTCAGCTTAATTGCCAGTGACCAGGCTTGTTAGACATCTCCATCTAAACCAGTGGCATGTGTAGTCAATGAATACAGAAAAGCTTTTTGAAGGTGTGATTCATCTGACCTACTTTGCCTGGCTGTTCTAGCGTGAGATGACTCACACCCTAGGAGGTGCCAGTTTCTCTCCCTTGGGCAGAAAGTAAGCTGAGGATGAGTGGCTTGCAGATAGATGTCTGCATTCCTTCGCTGCCATTTCACCCTTGTCTTCTTTTTACTGGCATATCTGATTGCATTGTGCCAATTAGGCAGTTTGCTAACAGCCCACCTACCACTCTCATTTAGCAGTCATGAAGAAATCAGTAAGAAGAGAGTAAATTGAATCATCCATGTCCATAAGGGGTCTGTTCCTATGTACCTACTGATTCTCAATGATTGTCGATGTAGTACTGTGAAATCTTTCAAATTTTTTTCTGACTGTAATGAAAGTCAGCTCAAATCTGACTCTGTGTTGTTGTGATCTAGACTCAGTGCACGTTTTGATTGGGAAATGTCATGGCAAATGTTTCTGGGAGAGAGAGAGAAGGCATATAATACTGCAGTGCACTTCTTACTAGACAAAGAGGTTTTAAAGACATATATTTATGCATGTCAGCTACTTAGTAATGTTGATGGAATTGTATGTTACTTCAGCTTGTGAGATTTCATTTCCTGCGGCTTTCCTTGCCAGGAAAGCTGCAGCATTTTCCCAGCACACTGCTGACTGCAAGTGTCAGGAGTCCAGAGCTTTCAATACTGTGTGTGCTCTTCCATGTGGTGCCCCTGCACTGTGCAATATTGTTTCTGCTCTGTTCGTAGATTCTGAAGGCATCTGTGCATTTTATCTTCTACAGGACTCAGTAAAGATCTGCTATGTTATAGAACTGATGCCCTAGAGCTGATGACTTGGCCTGAGCTTCTCCTGACTTTTCTCCTGAGTTTTTCTCTTGACTATAGAAAATCACTTCAGGCAGCCTTTTGCCTGATACATGGTCCAGATATCCAGACCTGGGTAGCAAAACGTGCAGGAAAATGGTTTTCATCCTAAGTGGCTGCCATTGTCAAGTAAAATAGCACCTGTAGACAGCCTTAAAAAGCAATTTAGCATTTTCTTCTCTTTTGTAGTTTCAATCAGAGCCTTCTTATCTGAACTGCATATTTTTTCTCATTTTCTTCATAAGAGTTTTTTTGTTATGCTTAGTATGCAAGGATGTGGTTAGGTTCTCATGATAACTTAAATGTGAGGTTTCAGGATTTACAGGCTTTCTTCTGTGATGACTGTAAATTGTCCATTGACATGGAGAAGATTTATAGACCTTGAATAGACTATTTATGTCTTTGTGGGGTTGCAGGTAAAAAAGTGCAATGCAGTCCCTCTAAGCAAAGACCAAGTCTCTGGGCAGGTAGCCAGCTATACACAGATGCATTAAATTCATACTAACAGATACATGGCATGACCTTCACTTCCTATCACAATTAGAAATAACTCCAAAAATGCAAAATTAACATTAAACACCAGCAATACTTACCAAGCCTATCCAAGTGATTTATTTCTACATCCCTTCTCTGTCTGGGCAGGCATTGCATTTTACTGAATATACATTGCCTAAAATAGAATAGTTTCACCCTGGATGCATTCTGGGTCCTACTGGACTATTAAATGTTGAATAACAATTATATTTTTTTTTGAAAACTGGTTTCTGTTGCCACATGGAAAAAATACTTTCTGTCAGTTTAGCAATTACAGTGTGACACCTGATAATTTACCATTTTCATACATAGATTCATCAGAACAAAATATAATTGGAATTTGGCTTCTAGTTTTGTTAATGGTGCAGAAAGAATAATAAAAATCTAATGAAAGAAATGTTTTATATAGTCTTGGAATGGTAACAGAAATTGAAAACTGGAAACACTGGATTTAAAGAGTTTATTCTTCCTGTGTTTTCCCTCTGCATCTGAGCACTTAGTTAAGACTTCTTTGAAAATGAAAACAGTTTCATTTTGATACAGCTCAGGTCTGGTTACAGCTTTGACTGTTTCTAATTTTCAGTGTTATTTCCTTTTAAAAACTCCATTTTAGCACTCACTGTCATCATAATTTCCTCTTTTCCAAGCTCTGAGAAGTTGATAGAAACCTTATCTATTTGTGTTGAAATGATAGCAGCAATGTAGTAAGATTTTGTCTTTCTTCTTCCTAGCCATCTGCCTCTTTTATTTGGAGTGGGAGAAAACAGGCAGCAGCAATCAGATTTCCTTCGGTTTTCCTACATCTAAAGCTTTTTGAGTCATGCTTCAAGGCTATCTTTGGCTGGGTTTCACCTTATCCTTTTTGTCTCTAGCAAGTTACCAGCTATTTTTTTGCCAATGTGCCCCCTGTGTTAATTTAATGTTGGTAAAGACAAAAAGAGCAATGGAGCAAGGAGAGCTTGGAAGTGCCACCTCCCCCCTGCCATTCAAAATGTCTGTCCTACTGTTCTCCAGTGTGTCTCTTTCACTGAAAACAAACTTGGCTTACCTTAAATTACTCTCCTTTATATTTCTTTGCAATTTCAACTCTTCAGCCCTCCTTATTCCAGGCTTACCTATTCAACTCCCTATGAGCAGTTGGTTTGCTTCTGCAGCTTGCAGTTGAAATCTGTTGTTTCAAGCTATGAAAAAGAAGTGATTGTGAGCACAAGGAGTGCAAAACCAACTGAATGTGAGCACAAGGAGTGCAAGAGGTGACGCAATTTCTCAGTAATCAATCTCTGTCCTCAGAGATTTGATTTCTCAGAGATTAGATAATTATTTTTTGAAGAGTGTTTCTCATGGACATATTGGGACATATTCAGAAAATGAATATCTGTGTTGACCATGGAAGCTCTCCTTTAAACATCCCCCCCCCCCAAATACTACAGCCTAATAATTTTCTCTCATTTAATGAATTAGGCTAAGTTTTCAAAGACATCAGTCATCATATTGGCATTGTAAAGCATTTCCCAAAGGGCCTTCTTTGTAGAGTTGTGTTCTCAGTTCTTTTGGAATATCTTAATTTGGGCACTGAAAAATTGAGGTACCCCAGAACCACTGACTGTTTTTTTGAAATGTTGGCCTTCCAAACCTGGCTTTAAAAGGCCAAAACCACAAACTGCTTCTGCACTTTTGTGCATTGTGTTTTTTGCTTGCACCTGTCCTGGTGTGGTCTGACTTCCTGAGACCTCACAGGCAGGAGCATTTCTCCATAGACATCCCCCAGGCTGTTAGCATGAATATGGTCAATAAATTATCAGTAATGTCCTCTTGATTTGATCAAGATCATAGGGTTCATTGTAAGACACTGAGCTACCATCTGGCCACTCTGAAGGATGAGAGTCGCCCAGCACCTTGTCTGAAGCATGCCAGCTGGGTTGTGTTCTTGTCAAAGTCCCCTGCTACCTTCTGCTTCTGATCATACCTTCCAAGGCAGAAAGAGCCTGGTTTTCATCATACCTTTCAGCTTTCTGGCTGACCAGTATACAAGATGGACAAAAATATGTTTTCCTAAAAAATGATGGTTTGAGGTCCTGGGTTTGAGTGTTATTTTTTTTAACACTCATCTTACTTTAATTACTCACATTCTTTTCTGATAGTCATAAAACATAATTTGTTTTGATTGAATTTAATATGGGTGCAATTTAGGAAATGACTATTAATCATTGAGCAGTAAGTCAAAATGAAGAACTAATACAGAATTTCAAATAGCACATCTCTCAGGCATATTCTTGTTTTTAAAAACATACTCATTGGGCATCTTCTTTTAGATGAAAATCTAGAGTCACTGTCCCCCCTACATTTTTTTTTAATTCTGATAGATGGCAAGAAAATTACTATATTTTAGGAAATGTCAGTCTTGGGTTTTTGTGGAAGTAGTTTTATTTGCAAAGTAGAAATGCTTCATTGTTTTAAAGGCACTGTAATAACCACTGTAGTAACCATTTTTCAATACATTTAAGAATGGACAAGATAACGTAACTACATAGAAATGACCAAAAGATTTGAATCTTCTGAATTAATCTTCTGAAAATATATTTGATCTGTTTTTTTTCTGATTTCAATAATAGGACTAGTACAAGAGCTGTTTATTGGCTTGTGTAGCGATTTATTGACTTCTTTTAATACCACAGGCAGATGCTTGAAAGCTCAATATTTGAACTGAGAAACACTGTAGCAGAACTGGAAAAAAGTCTTAACAGTACTGAAAATGAAGGTAAGTGAATTACAACAGTCTTTCTAATTGATTAGGAAGCACAAATAATTATTATAGGAAAAATCTACAAGGGCTCAGATTTTTATTTAGAGATTTAAATTTTTGCTTTTCAAACATTACTACTATAACTGAGGTGCTTCAGATGTGAAATTAAGAAATACTATGTGTGGCCATGCTAGCTTTTTTTTTTTAATTATTAATGAAGCTATGAATAATATAAATTCACAGAGTTGGTTAATATTGTGACCACAGTAAGCCTAGTGAAAATTTCCCTTGATTTATATTTTCAAGCTCTTTTATATGCAAAGATGCTTATTATGAGGATTACTAAGTGAAGACTTTCTTAGTCTCCAGTTAGTTAAAAGGAACAGATTTAAAAATGCTTTACCTTAAAATGACATGAACCAATCTGGAAATACAATAATTCTGTATTTGTTCTTTAAGATAATGAATGGAAAACCAGATATGAGACACAAGTAGAATGGAACAAGCAGCTGGAAAGGCAAATTAATATTCTTCAAGATAAGGTGGAGCTTATTCGTGGAAATCCAGCAGGTAGAAAGGGATATTTGTAACTTTTTCAGTAGAATTAGTGATGATTAGAGATGTTGAAATTATTTCAACAGGTCACAATTTTCTGCTTATTTGTAGATAAACTGTCCTTTGTTCGCACCTTTGATAAAATGCCTGTGGTAAGTACTATGACATTTAGCTGGCTTAACAACAAATCACAGTCTAGTTGGAAAACTCATATAGTCTTTGTTTTTTCATAACAAAAAGTAGCAGGAGTCTGCTCTAGAAGAAAAAGCAATCAGTTCTGCTTATGTTTTTATTGTTTCATATATGCAATTGCTTATAAAATATTGAGTAAAATTCCTATGTAGGAAGTATGTAAAATGTGAATGTTGGGAAGAGTTATGTAGTGAAATTTATTCCTGAGTGAAGGTTTTATAATTGAATCTGCAGTACAGCTTGCAAGATGGAATAGCTGAACTAGATCTATGAATAAATGGGAAAACATTAAACTGCATGGAATCATAGTCTTTGACCACTCTAACTGTAAAAGATGTCTTCAGTTGTGACCTAATGGAGTTCCAGCTGTTTCAGTCCTGTCCTATCACTGGGCACTGTTGAGAAGAGCCTGGTTGTTTCTTCTTCATTCCTTCCCATCACAAATTTTTACGCATTGATAAGAACCCCTGGGCCTTCTTGTCCCCAGGCTGAACAGTTGCCCATCTCTCAGCCTTTCCTCATCTGTCAGGTGCTTTGGTCTCTTAATCATCTTCATAGCCCCGTGTTGGACTTGCTCCGAGAAGTCCATATCATTCTTGTACTGAAGAGTCAAGAACTGGACCCAGCACTGCCAATAAATCTCATGAGTGTTAAGGGTAAGGGTCGGATTGCCCCCCTTGACCTGCTGGTAGCATCTTCCTAATGCAGCCCGGGCAGCCACAGGCCACCCTTGCAGCAAGAGTGCATTGATTTCCTGGGGTCGCCTTGCTCACCAGGAACTCAAAGACATCGTGTCCCAGGCTGCTTCCCAGCCAGTCTGCTCCAGCATATGCTGGTGCCGAGGATTATTTCTCCCCCAGGGACAGGGCTGCATTTAAACTCCACATGATTCCTCTCTGCCTGTTTCTGCAGCTTCATGAGGCTCCTCTGCATGGCAACACAATCTTCTGTTGTATCAGTCAATAATCCTAGTTTTGTATTAACTGTGATAACCTAAGTGAATATTTGGAGTAACATTTTGCATGATATAGTCACAGGAAAAGTCCTCATTTTACAGCAAATTTTTGCATCACTGAAGGAAGTATCTATTTTCATTTTTTAAATTTTATTCCTTAATGCACTCATACTTCATGTCCTTTATTTCAACACAGCATAAAATATTTTTTCTGCAATCTTGAGGATAAAATGCCAAGGAAAAAACCCAGGAAATGTTATGGCAATTTTGTCTTCTAAGGTAGTAAATGAAGTCAAAAAATAATTGTAGATTCAGAAGTGCTTTTCCCTTAGCCTGTCATCTGCTGAAATATTTGACAACTTTTCTGCTTTTTACCCACTTTTAGAAATAGAGAAGGTAGATGAAGATGCGATAATGCCTTGTAATAGATTGTGATGATGAACATTATGAAGCAGGGCTGTTGTGATTTTTATTCCTGTTGCTTGTACTTACAGAAATGTTACCATTAGACTTTTTTGGTACTTCAGAATCTGAAGATTGTTGGGAGTTTAGTGAGCCTAGAGGAGGCTGCATGCTCTGTTAGTGGGAAGGATAATTATCTACTGTAAACAGGATGTGAATAATTAACTGCTTTTTGTGATCTGATCCAAGGCTTTCAAACAGTCAGCATTTTTGCCAGTTCTAGTGTTGTCCTAAAGACCATGGTGCTTTTTAGGTAGGCAAGATTTTTTTTTTCTTTAGCAGCCAATTAAAAAGAGAACAGAATCTTCCCCATCCCACTTTCCTGTTTCACTAAATTCATCTGATAATACAGCTGGGATTATGTTCAAAGAAAAGTCTCAAAGACAGAACACTGATCTAGAAAATTTACAGCAGTGTGCTTTGGATGATATTATTCCTGTCAGCCTGTAAAGCACAGACTGGTGTGCATAGTTACAGTATCACAAGTATTTATTTCTGTCCAATTGCCAGTACTCTCCTAACCAATCCAGTTACACCTTGCCAGGCACTCCAGGAGGCATTACCCAAGGGATAATCTCCTTTCCCACCAAGCCAGTACATTTCTAATCCCTGCTATGCACTGCATTGCCTGCTCACCAATGAGCCACGGTTCTCAGAGGCTTGATTACTGTTCCCATAAAGGGAAGAATGCCAGCCCAGCTGAAAGGTTCGTACTGCCAGAAGGAGTCTAGAAGAGCTTGAGGAGTCCTAGGCTCAGTTGAGCCTGGGAAAGTCTGGAGCCCATGTGCTAGACCATGCAGTTTCAAATCCTTACTTAATTTTTCCACCTTAGAGTTAATAAATCTTCCTGTTTGCTAATCAGAAAGGGAAGTGCTTTAAGGATTTAATGAAATGTTTCACTTCTTTGCTTGTTTGATTTTGGGAGATGGAAAAAGCAGAAAAAATATTAAGGTATTATGTGGGCTTTGCTGTTTTTTGTTTTGGTTTTAGTTTTTTTTTTTAACTGAAGCCATTAGAAAAGTAAGTGTTTATTTACAGATACTGTTGGAGAATGAAGAGCTGCTTTGCTTTATATACATATATTTTAGAAGATAAAACATTGGTAAAAGTACACAGATAATTTTTTGTGGTGTTCTAGCATTTAGGTTTGTTGAAGTTCTTTTGGGGTTTTGAGGGTTGTTCAGTAGATTAGGGAAGAATATTTAACTTCTTCACAGATGAGAATAAAGAGCAGATGTGAGTGGTAGAAAAACAGTTTTCAGCCAGTCATCAATATACATTTGCTTAAAGTAAAAATGCTGAGAGTGGGTATATAAAGCATGGTGCGTGTGTCTGTAAAATCAAAAATACACTGTGATAGTCAGCTTTCAACTTGCAGTTGCATATGAATAGGAAATATATTCCTATATGAAAATATACTTCCTAAGTGTATTGCATAGGAAAGATTTCTTCACTGAAAGGCTTGTTGAGCACTGGAACAGGTTGCCCAGGGAAGTGGTTGAGTCACCATCCCTGCAGGTATTTAAAAGACAAGTATTGTGGTGCTTGGCAACATGGATTAGTGGTAGACTTGGCAGTGCTGCGTTCATGGTTGGATTTGAGGATCCCAAAAAAGTTGATTCTGTGATTGTGTGAAGCTCTATGGAAAGATTGAAAAGATTCTGTATTTGATTAAAAGTGGTTCTTTCAGCCAGGTGATACAATTCCTACAATGTGGCAACAGTAGACAGTAGATTTTCAGTAGATTTTGTTTTGAGCAACATATTTAGGAAATTAAATATTATTTTCAAGTACTTATAACCTGTCTTCCCGAGAAATTTAAAATTGTAATTAGGGTTATTAGAAGAACCTCTAACAATTCTTATTTTATTAAACAATTTCAGCTGTGTTTAACAGAGGAGTTATCTCAATTTGCTAAATAGATTTAGCTCACTCAAGCTAGTTATTTAAGGTCCTGCTATAGTGAATAGAGGGAGAAAAACATGTCTGTAGAGTAATTTGATCTCCTTAGATATAGGTAGAGTGAAATATTTTCTTCTTAATATCAAGCATTACAGGCAAAATAAAAAAAAAATATATTAGTCATCAGGGACCTGGCAGTGAGCAATCTATAAAAACCTGAATGAAAGAGAAGAATACAAATGCAAATTCTGGAGTGATGAACAAGGAAGCACAGAGGATTTTCTGTGTTGAAAAATTGCAGTAATTTTTGCAGATGGCTTGCACTATTTTTGCTTTAGAATTAGAATTGAACTGAAGGATAATTTCTTTCTATTAAAAACACCCCTACACCATTTATATATACAGTTATTATTCTGAAGTCCTTATACTGATATGAGATAACCCCTTTTTTGATTCAGAAAAATTATGTAGGTGTCATGTAGCAGTAAATGCAGAACCAATACCTTGAACACAGAAATTCTTACTGCCAGGGTCTAGAAAATAATTTTTGTGTACTGAGGGCAGATTAAAAATAAAAGTGACAAGCACAAGGGAGTTCCAACAGTGAAAACTGTTTAGTCAGTAATTTCCTTTATGTCCCAGTGAAAAATACAAATGTCATATAGTTCTTCAGAAATAATTACAGAAGGAATGCATTCTCTCTAAAGTGTAACAAGATGTGAATTTTACTTGTGTCTTTTAAACATGCTGCTTTCATTTGTTTGCATTTTTTTATACAATGAGTTTTGGTAAAATGCATGTTCTCTGCTAAGCATAATTTCTCATATAACAGAAAGAAAACTATTCCTTTCTCTCTCACCATTTCTGCAGGAAGGAATCCCTAGATAGCAGCTTTAGTATGCAAATACAGAAAAGCACACTGCGAAATCAGTTCAGAAGAGCACACTCCTGATAGCATTGCCTTAGCAACGCTCTAGTTAAGATTAGCCCAGGAACCAGGGCTTCTGGGATAAATCACCATTTTTTCTGAATGTCCAGCACCACAGAGGAGAAAATTCTGACATTAAGGGCCAGATACTTGCTATGCAAAGCTGCCTTTCTATGAAGACAGTGACCACAGAGCTCATAGCCTCACACAACCACCTCAGAGTTTTTGCTGTCAGTTTTAAGCTATAAGCAGAATGTGTGGCAGTGTCACTCTGGAGACATACGTGATTGCAATATGACAGGAAGGGAATCTTGGGTTTGTGAAAACATGCCGTGAAGACTTTGTATTTCAGTAGGCGTTGATAACTGCTTATAGGGAACATCAGCACTTATAATGCCATAGGAAATGTTGACAATTCTCCTAGCAAGTGACTCTTAAGTGAACCTTGTTGCTCTTCCTGGGTTAAGCCATGAGTAGCTCTATGAAAAGAAGAAATCTAGTATCCTAGCTTTTCATGAAACTTGGAAGTATTTTGGAGAAAGGTCTGTCTCTGGTCTGACTGCCCTAAGCTCTTATCCTGCCTCCTCACAGACTTCCCCTTCCTACTCCTTTCATTTGACCTTCAAATAAATACTTCAAATACCTCCAAGAGACCTTTTTTCTTTTCCTTGTCAAGTTGGCATTAATTGTTCCTCCTGGTGGCCTTGCTCAAA